TCCATCCAATAAAATGCTGTTCAAAGAAATGAAATGCAGGATGCTGCACTTAGGTAGGAAAAAATGGATACATTGATCCAAACCAGGTATCTGAATCAGAAGAAGCACTCGCGAAAATGATCTGGATATTCTGGTAAACATCACATTATACCACATTAAGCATGAGTTAGCCAGCAATGTGTGGCAGCTGCCAAAAGAGCTAACACTATTTTAGGCTACCCCTAAAGCAGGAGTGTCAAACTGCCGGCCACATCATGAAGAAACCGCTCCCACCCCATTGCCAGCAATGGGGAAAAAGGTCTGATATGTCTCGCAATGTCACATGACGTCACAAGTTTGACATGTCTGCCCTAAAGCATTGGAACTATAAACAAGTGTGTCCTACAAGATCTAGTGGGTTGGGACAATTCTGAAGCAAGCAGTCCTGCAAATATGCTAAGCCATAAGAGTTTTAAAGGTAAATCCCAGCACCTTAAAATGTACCCAAAAAACACATTAGCAATTATGGCAGGACTCAGAAAATCAGTGTTCTGGGCTTCCATTGCTATAAAGCAGGGGTGTCAAACTCGCAACATCATGTGACGTGTCGTGACTTATGACCCATTGCCGGCAATGGAGTGGGCGCGGTTTCACTATGATGCATCTGGCCCGCGAGCCGGCAGTTTGACACCCCTGCTATAAAGTATGCTGACTGCTGCATTGTGAACAGATGCACTTTCCAATTAATATTTATGGGCAGCCCCAAATAAAGCACACTATAATAGTCCAACCAAGTGGAAACAAGGTGTATGTTACTGTAGCGAGATTCTCCTGCATCAGATAAGGTTATAATTGGAGCAGCAGCTGAAATTTCAGCAAAGCCGTTCTAGTCATCAACTCCACCTGCTTCTATAGCAGAGACCAGGAAGACTCTCAAATCACAAACCTGCTCCTTCATAGGTAGCATCTGCACACCCAGAGATCATACTGGCATCTACAGAAACCCCAATGTAATAATAGTAATTTTGTCTTACTTGGGTTCAATTGAATCTTACTCTCATGCAGACCTTCATAGTTTGCAGGTACAGGGACAGATTGTCAACAGCATATTTCCTGCAGCCTGGAATAGTGATATAAAGCCCTTCAGGGCTTGGGACCAGGTTATCTGAGGGACCGTCTCTTGCCGGTCATATCCACCCAACCCACTAGAGCAGAGAGGCAAGGAATGTTGCGGGTCCTGTCCCCCGCGGGACCAGAAGAAGAGCCTTTTCCGTGGTGGCTTCCTCCCTCCGGAACACTCTCTCCAGAAATTACACTGCCCCCCACTTTGATACTCTTTTGTAAGACCCTGAAGAAGTGGTTTTACCAACAGGTCTGGGGAACCCAGAGAGAGATGAAGCCCATTAAATGGTTGATTTGAGTATGTATTGTCGCCGAGAGGGTGTGTGTGTGTTATTGTTTTATTATTGTTTTATTTTTATTTATTTTTTTACATTGTGTTTTCATTATCTGTAAACTGCCAAGAATCGCTGTGAGCAAGTAGGCAGCTATATACATTATCATAAATAAGTAAATAAATAAATAAATTTCAGTGCTATAAGCATACTAATGATACCACGTTCCATGACATCAGATGATCTCCCCCACAGGCTTCATAAACACATTAAAGAGCAAGGGAGAGAGAACAAAACCTTATGCCACATATCCGAAGCCCTCTTTTCCTCCTGGCTGAAACTGCCTATTTAGGAAGAAATGGATCCACTTCAAAAGTATCTCCAGTTCCTATTATATAGCTTTTGACTAGATTTTTTATTATTCTTATTTATGTATTATAATTTATATGTTATATACATTTTTTATATTTATTTTTATTATTGTATAATAGAGTTAAAGTATGTTAATATTTGATTGTATTATGTTTGGGTAGTATTATTTAGATATGTGATGATATGTGCTTATCCCTGTACTCAGTTCTGGGAAGTCCGGGGGGGGAAGGGGGGGATGAGGGGGGTAGAGATATGCAAAATTTGGTGTATTAATATGTTATAGAATAATGTATTTTTTTTTAAAGAGGAGGTGCTCGATTAGCACCCCCAAACTGCATCCGAAGGATGAGGAAAGGAAGGAGGTGGGATGTGTAGGGTAGTTGAAAGAGAGGAGGAGAGGTGTAGGTAGGAGGGGAGGAGAGAAGTAGGTAGGAAGGGTGAAAGAGAGGGCGGATGCAGGGGGGGGGCTGCCGAGCACCTCTGAAAATATTATTTTATGGTTATGTTTAATATGTTTTTTTTAATTAACGTACACCATATTTGTATTTAGAATTTGTTTATTTGAAAATTAATAAAAATTTGAAAGAAAAAAAAAGTATCTCCAGTTCCAAGCTCCGCCTTGTACCAGGCCCTGAAGTCTGATTTAAAAAGGTCCAAGTTATCTGTATCATCTAGGGTGCTGCAAAGTTGGTCCATTACCCATCTCAACAATCTTCCTTATAAAGGGGAGGTTGGAGACTGGATATTGAGTATGCAGAGTTTATAGGTAGTGATTACTTAAAAAGATTTGATGGCAATTTCTGCATACTTCAGAAAACCAGAAATGATAACAGGCAAAGGAAACAGACATTTTTTTTAAAAAAAATGCTCTTGAGTAGACCTTGATTCCTTATGAACATTAAGAGTCTTGCCATCAACCTTCTTCTGGCATTGTGACGTCCCAGTCTTGGCATCCCTAGGCAATCCCCTATTGAAGTACTAATCAGGGCTGCCTTGCTGAACGTAATTCAATCTAAATTGGCTATGCACTGCCACCTGCTGAGGCAGAACAGATATACCCCTTTATAAAAGCATCCATCTGAAGAAGCAAATAAGCTTAGACAGAACTTTGCACAGTTTAGGTCTATCAAATCCTAATCAATGAGATACACTTTTTTCCTTTCCTTGAAGATGTATGCTACACTTTTCAACCTAGAAAAGTTATTGCCCACATTTAAAACTAAGAAATACCTTTAGAAAAAGCATAGTAACCGATTACAGACATCACAGGGAGCAATAAATGGACAATTTAGCACAATTCTCTTTGCACTAACTGTATTATTAAATTGGATGCAAAACAAATACTGTAGCATGTTTGCCTACAGTACAAACCAAATGGATAGAGCAAAAGCCAGAAGACTGCATCACACAGAGAAACACAATAAATTGCAATTTTGTATCGTTAACGTTTTTGTGATACTGCAGTTCTATTAGTGTTCTGTTGATGCGCATTTCACAGAACACCACAGTCTAAGACAAAGCACATGCATTGTGTACCAGAGATCTAAGGTTTACTCCCAGCATTTTATGATAAAATTAGAAAAGTCCTAAGACTCTTCTGCCAGTTAGTGTCAATTATATTACACTGAACTTAAAAGATCCAACAATCAGACTCAGTATAAAGCAAATGGGGATGTGAACAGAATACATGATTTCCAGTAGGTTACAGACCAAACCAGGTAAGTGGAGGTAGGAAACACTGGGAAGATGCTGGGTAGACCTGCTGCATAGACCTGATTGTGGTCCTTGGCTTTAAGCATAGCATATCCAATGAGTCCATCCATTTTAGTTTTACCAGGCCTTCCTTTCCCTAGATGCCCTCCCATCTCTGTATCAGCTGCAGCATGAAGGATTTTGAAAGGAAGCCACGAATATTGGCTGGTGTGTTAGAGCCCAGGCCATGCAAAGAATGGAAATAATAATAATAATAATAATAATAATAATAATAATAATAATAATAATAATAACAACAACAACAACAACAACAACAACAACAACAACAACAACAATAATAGTTGGAAGAGACCTTGGAGGTCATCTAGTCCAACCCCCTGCTCAGGCAGGTAACCTTATACCATTTCGGACAAATGGTTGTCCAGTTTCTTCTTAAAAACTTCCAGTGTTGGAGCATTCACCGCTTCTGGAGGCAGGTTGTTCCACTGGTTAATTGTTCTAACTGTCAGGAAGTTTCTCCTTAGTTCTAGGTTGCTTCTCTCTTTGGTTTGTTTCCATCCGGTGCTTCTTGTCCTGCCTTCCGGCGCTTTGGAGAATAGCTTGACTCCCTCTTCTTTGTGGCAGCCCCTGAGATATTGGAACACTGCTATCCTGTCCCCCCTCGTCCTCCTCTTCATTAAACTAGACATACCCAATTCCATCAAGTGACAAGTGGTCCTGAGCCATTCTTTAGTGTCAGGATTCTCCAGATTTTGTCTCAACAAAACTTCAGAACCAAAATGTTTCAGCTTTTAGCTCTGTCAAACCACAGCCCACCTTGAATATTTTGGCAGATCTTCTAAGACACAATGTTTCAAGTTTGAAGTAAAATACATTTTGTGCATACTGCTACGCAGATGCATTTAAATATTTCTAATTTGGAAATTCTAGTAGTGAAATGTATATGCTCTAGCAATGTTATGGGATGTGCACGCAATATTAGCAAGTTCCTTATTTTGCATTAGGCATGCTAACAGACTCAATAAAAAAAGCCGGCTGGAAACACTAAGTTTTACTGACCATTCTAAATTCAAGTAAGCTTGGAGCTGGACAGATTTCCCTGGAGGGCAGGAAGGGGGGGCATGGCAGGAACTAAAAATATTTGTCTTCAAGGTCCCTGAAAGTAACATTCCCTCAATGAAAGCATCTGAAAAAAGCCTCTTCTACCTGATCTTATGAGATGAACAGAAACAAATGTGGTCCTGAAGATATCCAAGCTCAGAGCCATGAAGGACTTTAAAGATGACAACCAGCATTTTGAATGGCACAGGACCAGTTGTCATTTCCAAGTAGCCTTCAAGAACAGCCCACACATATGCAGCATATTATACTAGCCAAAATGGGAGGTGACTAAAGCAAGCAAATGCATGTGAAAACGTTCCTTTTGTCCCAGCTTAGACTCTTCAAAGTTATCCATCCACTCTCATAGATGATTACAGCTCTTGATTATCTGCGATAGGCAATGTACATATCGTTAGAGAAATATATATATATAAAACTTACACTGGTCACTCGACGGTAGATCTGTGCAGCATTTTGACATTCAGAATAAGGGTATTCAGATGTAGCCATCTCAAGCATACACATCCCAAAAGCATATACATCAACGGACTCATCGTATTTCTCTTCATACATCTCGGGTGCCATGAACTCTGGGGTACCTTAAATTTAAAAGAACGATTCAGACTCTAAATGTCTCAAAGCGAGCAGAGGCTGCTGGCCTTACTCACCGCAGAAGGGAGCAGACGGGGACCTGTGAGGAAAGAAGAAGTGGAGGCAAAAAAGAAAAGGGAGAAAACCCTCAGTCATTCTTTTTCATCAATGAATCCCATAGGTCTTCCATTGCAAGGTCTTTGCAAGAAGTGAAGAATGGTAAGTATTTATGATTTTACCATTTATATCGACATTACGATTCAAATTGAATTAGGAATATAAAAAAAAAAGAGGTTTTAGTAATAGAGCATGATTGTTGAGTCCTAGATTGAAAATAAATGGAGAAAAATAAAAGTAAGAGACTAGTTAGGCTGAAAACCAAATACGTGTTAGCCACACTTACCTTCCCTCCCACTGAGAAAGGAGGTGCAATGTTTGTTTCAGCATACCTGCCTGCTCTCTGCTGTAAAGAATTAATGTTGATTAGAGTCCACAGCTAGTCTCTGACCTGTAATGCTCCATTTATTTATTTTTTAACAGTGTCACTTTAAACAAAGCCTTGCAGTGAAAAACCTGTCTCTGAATAAAGCCTTCTTAAAAATGGATTTTTAAAATTTTCTGCAAAGGCCACTCACCAGAGCCCTTTTCACATACTTACCATTTCACCTGCAGTACATTTAATAGGCCTACTACAGATACAGGAAATAGTGAGGGAAATCCTATAGGCAAAAATACTCAGAAATATAAAGAGATTGAGTTATAGACACAGAGTGTGTGATTAACAAATCCTGAATCAAAAAACAATTTGCAGGAGATGCATTATCCCTGAAGTATGAAATGAATGCAGTTTCTCATATGGTAGAAAACTATACTATGTAATCAGAGATATTTAAAGCCAGAAATATTTACAATAAGGAAAGAATTATTTCCTGCAGGCAAACCAGATTTTATGCAAATTTACAGACTAACTTTTAAATCGCTATCCACCCTCCCATGGTTCGATAATTAGTATCTAAGTCTTAATTGAAAGTCAGCATACTAACACAACTGTTAACAAAAACTGATAATATGGTAAATTACCAATTGAAAGTTGAACACAACACATGGAAAGGAGAATGTTATGTTCAGGAAACTGGTCATTTCCACATTTTTTTTTTTACCATTAATGTTTAATGTTTCTAGACTGGCTGGAAAGCAGGAAATGTTTCATTGTGACAAGGACAAGATATCTGCAAATAGAAACTGTACCCTTAAAATCAGTTTTAAGGGATCTAAAACAAGAACTGCATTCTTAAAAACACGCAAGCGCAGACTAAAAAGGACAATCTTCTCCCTTGTTAGCCTGCTTCCTTCACACAGAAAATAGCAGAACAGAGCCGTTAAAACCAGTTCTATGGCAATAAAATATCTGGCAAATCCAAAGTAAATGTAAAACCCCAGAAACTGACGGTTAGATGGTAAGATTGCTTAAAAAAAAAAAGAAGTTGTGTCACCCTTTTGTGTTTCCCATTATTTTCCACTTGCAACAGATATTTAACTAGAGTGCATATATTATGGTTTTAGCAAGAGTGTTCTGCTAATTGTAACAATCTATGGTATCAGCACTCTTCCAGCAATATACCCAAAAACCAAATATGCATAATGTATGTACAAGGTCTATTACATCAGAGACTTTACAGCTGAAATATGGAAAAAGCTCAGAAGCCAGCTTATTTTGTTTTATTAAGAGTTTCAAATGAGATCTGCTAGAACAGAACTGGAACTTACCTATCACACTTTTGGCAAAAGAAGCTCGTTTTAAAGTTGCCAAGCCCAAATCTCCTATCTTGACTGATCCTGTGGGGCCAGTGATAAAGATGTTGTCACACTTCAAATCACGATGGATAATGGGAGGAGTGCGTGTGTGCAAGAACTGTAAACCCTTGAGTATTTGCCGGCACCAGCTTCGTAGCACTTTAATTTTCATCACTTTAAATCTTTTTAAATATCTAGGAGAGAACAGCCCAAATAAAAGTAAGCTTCATCTTGAAACTCATACAATAACATTATAAATATTTAACAAACAGGATATTAAAAAACAGTCTCTCATGTCCAATGAACCGACCATTAGGGAACACTGGCCAAAGATGAGAAGTACTCAAATACTTTTTATTTTTTGGAAGGTTAAAAAAAGGTGCTAAGTAGTTCGAAGCAACAGGGATTAGAAATATTAAATCTCTTTGGACATTTGAGAGAAAATATTTTTAATTACTATATACTATTTGGGGCCATTGTGTACATTATATATAAATAGAATAGATTTGTTTTTTTAAAAAAAAATAAAGCCATTAGAGTTTTTCAATCATAGAGTATGCCATCATAGTAACACAGCATCTCATTTAAAATATGTATTTGTTTTATTTTTAGCAATTAAATTTGGAGTAAAAATAATGCTTATAGTTATCATATTATCTTTGTATGCTCTATTTTTACAAAAAATCAGTAGAGATGCTGGCTTAGGAAAAAAAATACAACAGAGAAGTCATCAGTGGGGCTCAAGCTTTTACAAAAACAGAACTGGCAATTGTTTTGAAGAGCCGAGTATGGAAGTAAAATTGCCAACAGTTTAGTACAATTTTCTATGATAGGTCTTGCAGAATGTAAGATTTACTGAATTATATATCAGTGGAAAACACTGAAGGAAAAAACTCAGTTTGATAATACTCCTGAGAACAACTAGGAATAATAAAAAGTATAGAAGGAATAAAAGCAGTACTATTATATACAGTATGTCAGTTATTGACCACCCAATCAAGGGAAAGATGAAATTGTCCAAAAACAAAGTCCTGATCTTTCAGTGGCTTGAAGAGGAAAGAAAAACTCCACTGGAATCCGTCAAAGATGAATTCCGCCAAGCATGAGCCTTCTAGCAAATTCTTGACTTGTCTTGCTGACAATGTTTTCTTTGATGGGTCCTTGGTGCTCTCTGAGCTTGTTTTCTTGCAGACATTTCATTACTCAAACTAGGTAACATCATCAGTGCTAGTGGCACTATTAGCTAGTTTGGGTAATGAAACGTCTGCAAGTAAACAAGCAAGCTCAGAGAGCTACAAATATTTTCCTTAATTTTTTCTTTCAAAGGTGAAGAATAATACAATAAGATCAGCAATTCTTGAGTTGATGTTAAGTAATAAGTAGTATTACTATAACTGTGTGTAGTACTATAACTGTGCCTCAAAAATCCCAATGAACACTAGGTGACAGAACCCCCTCCCTCTATAAAATTTAGAAGTCATTCAGAATTTTCCAGGACAGATACACTAGCTTCACAACAAGGAATTGGAAGTAGCAGGAAAAGCAGGGGAAAGTAACCACACATAATGATGGATTTCCTCTCACAATAAGCCAAGGATTAGTGAAACATGTTCAGAATAAAAGAAAGAAAAAAGAATCAGCTGCTCAGTAAATTTAGCAAAGGATAACAATTATTTAATTCCTGCTTCAGCTCAATATTCACTAAAAGGAAAATACCCATTACACACAAACATTCCTGAAAGGACAGAAATGAGATTGAAAATCAAAATAAATATGGTCAAGGAATTCTGAATGAGTTTAAGACAACAGAACTAGATGAATTGCATAGGAAGATGCAGGTTCTACGTGCAATTCAAGGTCTGGTTATCACCTATAAAGCTCTTCATTGCAAAGAGCCTGGCTAACTGAAGGACTGTTTCTCACCAATTATTCCTTCCTATCTGGTGGGGGTGCACCCTGGTTTTCCTGTCAATTAAACAAGACCCAGAAAATGTGTATATCACTGCAAAAATTAATAGAGCTCCCATCCTAATGACATTCAGAAAATCATTAAAAACATGGTTTTTCTCACAGGCCTGGGGATAAGATGGTTGTCCTTTTTTTTTTNAAGGACTGTTTCTCACCAATTATTCCTTCCTATCTGGTGGGGGTGCACCCTGGTTTTCCTGTCAATTAAACAAGACCCAGAAAATGTGTATATCACTGCAAAAATTAATAGAGCTCCCATCCTAATGACATTCAGAAAATCATTAAAAACATGGTTTTTCTCACAGGCCTGGGGATAAGATGGTTGTCCTTTTTTTTTTTGTTAGTTATGTTGTCTGTTCAAAATTTATTCTGTATTATTTGCTTTTCTTTTTTAATTGTAAAGCACTTGGAGTCATTAAGGAATCTCGTAGCCTTAAACTTGAAATAATTACATACATATTTACATATATACATAAAGAAACAAACAAACAAAACTGCCTTTGTTAAACGTTCAGAAGTCTCCAATGGGTAGTAGATGGGGAAAACATTTGAGCATGTGAAGGCTTTTAAATAGTTAGTTGTGATCTTTCAAGACACAGAGTCATAGAATAGACATAATGATTCTGTGGTCTTGGCAGGTTCAAAGAAGCACTTCAGCCATTTTAAAAGGTGCTTTTGTCCGCACTAAAAGTGGTAAATGTATCTGTGGCTTTAAAAGGACTTATAAATGGCATGGGGCCAGGCTCTTTGCAGGATTATCAGTCCCCACTGTCTCTGACCAACCCATCAGGTCTAGCAGAGAGGGCGTGCTCCATGTCCCATCACCAAACAATGCAATCTCATTAGTCCCTGGAGTCAAGCCTACTCTTTGGCTTTGCCAGGCATGTAAAAAAAACATTCCTCCAGAGATCCTGATGGCCCCAACCTTGTTAGCCCTTCATAAGATTCTGAAGATCTGGTTGGTTCCTGGGTATTAAGGTGAAATGTAATTATTCATACTCAAATAAAACAAACTAGGAGTTATATTCAGTGTATGCACTCAAAATTTCTGAATTGTTTTAGGATGAAAAATTAAAATAAAACCAGTTTTGCTTTGAAAAGTAATATATTTTCTAAAGTATGCTCCTTTTATAATTTTTCAGGCATGTTGCAACTTGCTTATTTTCTTTTTAATTAAAGGAATCTACCTAAAATTAAAAAGGGAGGGTAATGGTAGAAAGCCTGCCAGGTAGCAATAAAAGAACCTGTAGATTCACCACACTGTCCATCCC